TCTAACTGTGAATCATTCTGATCATAATCTAATCAGTGCCTGATGCATGATCAATGCCCCCTCTTGGCGCCTGCACAAGGGATTCAGGCCAAGCTCAAACTTAACACTTGCATTTCGTCAAACATTTTTTAATGTCAGGCGGTAAAAATGCCGTTACGTTAGAGACGTTCGCAATTAATTCAGGTGCGTTGGAGTTGAATCGTGGTTGGGAGTCCTGGGTCTTTGGGGCGTATCGACTAACAGTAACCGGGTTCGAATGAAAAGAGTCAAACGCAGACCGGTTCGTGGGACGAATTAGCGGTGAGCATTTATTTTCAGTTGGATTAAAATTAGATTACCGTGTAATTAACAGCTCGAAGACAAGCCATGGCTCAACTCGGCTCAGCGAACAGTGTCATAGCGTCGAAGATTAATCGCGATGGGCTGAGCGGGTCATTTTGAAACAAGGAGTAACTGTGACGCGACTCTAATAACTTAACGATTGCAATAATTAGGCCAAGTTGAACGTTCAAACCCGCCAGTAGCACACACGTGATCATCCATGGTAGAAAGCCGGTCCTTCGATTTTCTAGTGCACAAGACCGAAATGAAATATTAGTATGAATATATTCTCATTAAGAGTGAGGATTTAATGCATAGGACTGACATTACTAACACCAAAGAAAACAATTATTTTGTGACCTGATTTTGAGTACGATTTGAATTAAAATTTAAAAATGACTCGTTTCGTGGCATATCGTTGTTTTTCAGACGGAGGAACTTACCTTCATTCAACTGTTGCAAAATTGACGCAAAGAATTCAATTTTTTATACAAGAAAATACCTACGCACTTTTTGTCTAAAATTCTTTTGATTTTTGTTAGAGATCGGAAGAAAAATCGGTGAAATTTTCAGTTAGAAATGCTTAAGATTCTTCTGTTAAAAACTCGAGAACTTGACAGACGGGGCCGTGCTCCGAAGTATAGAGGTCGTCGGTAGAAGAAGGGGAAATATTAAAAATAAGTCCCTCGGATCGTGTCTTCATTTGATTTTAATAAAAACTTTATTCAAAAATTTGTCGAAAAGGTTCATCCTCTGTCTTATTAGAGCTTTGATAGAACTACGGGCTCTTCGGACTCCGCAGGGTTAAAAAACCATACTCCAGAAGGGACTTCCGTCCGCTCAAATAAGTTTAATATAATAAATAGTAAGTCAATAATTTATTTTTCGAAGGAGCATTTCTTCATTTTTTTCATTTCTCGAAAGAGCTCGAGTAGTGGTTCAAAGGAGATCTAGAACATACGAATAATTTTCGCGTCTTTTGGACGATTCTCTGAGAGGAGGCGATTATGTTGGATGTTCACTTGCACTAAATTGCACTCGGGAAGGAGGAAAAGCAGAGCGTGGGCAGGCTCACGAGGACATAACAATTATCCGCGGAGGGAACGATCCATTCGGTGCATCGATACATTTTTGCGCGGATACGAGCTCAGCTTTATGGCGGAACACGAGAAACAATGGAACATGATAATCCATTAAAAGTAATAGGCTAGGTTCCCGCAGTGGTCACGCTATCGTTGCCGTCAACTGCTCACTGGCCAATCGCGGATCCGAGTAAAGGTCACTTCCAGCCCACCTACCAATCCGTGATTACCGCTCATAAGATTTCAACTTTACTCCTACGATAGGTCCCAGGTTCGAATCCCGGTAGTAAGCATATTTTTGGCGAGTAGATTTGGTCTAAAAGGCCTGCCTGGATACACGCTCAAATTTCCATCAATTTCCTATCAAATGGTGACTGGTGCGCACCATCTACCATCAATTTTTTGCGTCCTGCAAAAATTTGATGGTAGATGATGGAATTGTAGGTCTCATCCGTCATCTGATTTCCGCACAACCGTGCTTATTTCATGCTTATTTCAATCAACACGCTGTTTTAAGTAATTTTAGATACCAATTTAGATAACTCTTTAAAACGAAAGCATTACGAAACATAACCTTCAAGAGAAGATGAGCTGTTTGCGTTGAAAAGGGGTAACGCGTTACAATCAATGTTCATTGTTTAAATGGGAGAATTTACAGATCCATTTTCGTCATTTAAAAAAAGTTGCGTCACAACTCCAAAGTCTGAATAGAGCGGTCTCAGCGACCATCACCAATCGATAACCGTTTAAACGCGGGAATCAGCCCAGTAGGACCGCAGAATAAACTGTTACCAAATATGAGAATTTAGGGGGTAAGAGAGCCCATTGTGATGCTTGTTCACGGAGACTTAAACGCTTGGTAGGAATGTAAGCGTTTCCCTGAAATACTATACGTGGGCCAATTTTTGCATAAAAAATGTTGTGATCACAAGTATTGAAACGCGCGGTAGTCATTTATGAATTCGATTGACTCATATGGAAATTGATATTTTTACTTATTGCTAAATGATTCAATTTATAAAATGAGCTGTGACAAAAAATGAAAAGTTTAAGAGTCGTCAAATTGGATTGAAAGGTTCAGTGCGTGGATGTTCAATTGGACTTTTTATGATTATCAGACGGACAGATTTCAAGTTAAATGATTAAATATGGAGCCTCCTAGTCATCTGAAAATGTTGAAGGTGGTTACGTAAGCCTTAAAAACAAGTTTTTACATTTCACTTGTTTCATGCAATACTTTTTAGATACTACCTCGAATTAAAGGAAAACACACCTCCTTTCTCAAAAATGTTCACAGGTGCATGCAACTGATGGCATCCTGCGACTTTCATTCATAAAACAAAAAAACTGGTTTTGTAATTTTCCAGAAAAAAATATATAAATGATAGAGAAAAATAATCACCAAATGCATGAACATTCAGTTTCAAAGAAGCCTGATTTGTCTGAGAGTTAGAAGGTTATCTTTTGTTGTTTAGTTCTCAAATACCCTTATGAAGAAATCTTATTCTTTGACAGTGGAGAGACCGTATATGAATTGTTCCTATTAGAGGATTTTATTGAGTTTCGAAAGAGATCGATGGTTCGTGCGTAAGTTTTCTCTTCAACCAGCAATTAAAAGTCGCACAAACGGCCTACCATTTTATATCGCGGAAAGTAACGATCTAGTAATTACAGGTCGATTAGTACTTAATAAAACGTAATAATTATTTCTCAACTTATCATGCGACAGCTGTTACGCCTGGGGAACAAAACGCACACTGATGTCGTCTACAAAGTTCTGAAACTATTTCTATGGATTGAGTCAGAGGGTTAGCGTCGCATAATTCACGCACTACTGTCTATTTGGATGGATTGAAATTCTACGAGGCTTGGTCGCAAATTATTCAGATGACAATTTTCATTAATTAATCGGATGATGAAATAAAAGAAAAACTCTTTCTTGTGACGGAAGAATGTCCTACTGACCAGAAATTTTCACGAAAAAAGAGGTAGGGGAGGTAACCCAACTTGGATTAGTTAGGTGCTTTAATATAACGTGGCCAGAAATAGTGGTTCCTTATTTCAAAAATGTCTTGACGTAAGAAAATAAAGCGAGCTGAAAATGTGTTAATTTGCTAGAGAGAGAAAAAAATAGATACCTAAATAAATAAAACATTGCTCGGAAGAAAAAGAGCAGGCTGATTACTGAAATCAATAGACAAAGACAAAGAGGAGCAAGGGAAAATGGAATTTTCCTTTTGGTTGAAACGAGTGGTTGTAATATACTAACGGGGAAAATGACAGCACTGGAAAAAAACACATTGGATCTAGAGTCCAGACTCTTAAAAACATCGACAAGAAAAAGTACTCTTGATTCAATCGGATTTTTGCTTAAATCAAGAACCAAGCCTCTTAATTTGAGCGGATTTCCTTTTGATTCAAGCAAAAATCCGATTGAATCAAGAGTATTTTTTCTTGTCAATGTTTTCAAGAGTCTGGACTCTAGATCCAATTTGTTTTTTTTTTCTCCAGTGAGGGTTCCTCGTTCGTTCATCCATTGCTTGCTTCCTTCATCCATTGCAACTACCCGCTTCCACCGATAGAATCGCTCAATTTTCTCTTCGTCTACAACTTTGTCTATCAATATCAATGATCAGTCCGCAGAGCGCCGGCGGCGTCATCCGACAAGATTGTTGAAAACACAGGTGAGACTGGTGAAGGAAGTTGTCCATTTGGAGAGGATAATTCGGTGGACGAGCGATCGATTAGGATTCGAATCGGATCCACAGTAAAAACAAAAACATACGAATTGGACAAAGGCAGGGTGCACGGTGTCCGAGCCGGAGCAAAGAGGCTTCGTTTTGATCACTGCTCAGATAACCTCGAAATTTATTGATCACATCGTAACTCCTTAACACCTACGAGTCGGTGTTTAGGAGCAACGCCGCGCCGCCGCCGCTCGACACCTCCGTTGCAACGAGGCTTCAATTTATTAATGGGCCGGCCCTTTTTTACAAGCCAACTGTTTTTCATTGAAAAAAAATGAGCCTCCAAAGTGTTCGGTCTTTGAGCAAGGTGTTGGTGGGCAGGTTCTCTTAATTAATGGGCTCTATTTTCCGTACCGATTTCGGTTCCCCACTCATCAAGCTGAGCATCGAATCCGAATCGGCAGTCACCGACTTATACTCATTCTGTAAGACTCTAATTAATTATCAGAGCTCTCTCTTACATACCTTAAGGCTTGCCCGCGATTCCGTCTCAAAATAAAAGAGTTTAACTTCACACGATTTGCAAGGATTGGATACCCCCACACTGTAGACGTCCGAAATTCGGCAAAAATAAAGTGTCCCCCAATTTCCCCTTGTCTGTAAAAAAGATGAAATGATGAACCTTTGTGAGGCTGGCTATTGTTTTTTTTGTACCTATATATTTGAATACATTTGCCATTGCAGATTTTACGATGAAAAATTTCGACCGCTTATAAATCCAATATCATTGGCGGTTTGTACTTCGTTTTAACCTATGTTCACTGACTTGTCTTTAGAAAAAAACTTTAGAGAAACCGAGTAAAGAGAAAGAGGAGAGACATGAAACATGGTGTAAAACGTATGATCTTACCTTCCGAAATCAGCCGCTCTCGAATTTCCCACGCAAAAATCGTTGGATTTTCTCTTTTGTATTGCTCTATTTTAGAAACGACGACTGGTGTAGCTACTTTTGGTTTACTACCACCTATCAGACCCGGTGGCCTTAAAGTTCCTGCAACATCAAACAAAAGCCATGGATTAGCTCTAAAAAAATAAATTAGTAGAAACGCAATATTCCTATACTCTGCAAAATAAGAATGAGAAGAAATCCTTACGGCAAGCAATACAACAATAACAACTAAACATACGTAACTTCCTAAACGTACTCTTGAGGAAGTTGGTGTCATTCACCGAAGACATATTTTATATTAAGAAAGAGGAAATCGCACGTAATGAACAACCCTGCAATTTGTTTCCCCTTAATGCAGTTCAGTTGTTAATATGCCTTGTTTGTGGCTTAGTTTTAGAAAATAAGTCCGCGGTAATACGAATCTGCCTCAAGATGCTGCATGTTGAAAGAAACTGCCAAAGGATGATCATTACTTGAGAAAAGGAGCAAAGAAGCAGCTCCCAATCTCCAGAAATTATCATTACAAATTCTGAAGACATGCAACGAGTTTCAGGCATTCGTTTCAGTGGGCAGTGAACAAAGGCACAAATTACCGAAGGAGGATGGGGCGATCAATTTCGATTGTTTGTTCGGGGGCCAAAAAATGAGCATGACAATGATCGGTTGGTTCGAGGAGCACGCCTAAAGCACCACGCGCGCCTGCACATGGCGCAACAGGTCATGATGATGGTAGAATGAAGTCACAGAATGTCGGAGGGGCCGATACATTTTGTGGCTGTTGAATAATAATAATTTAACATGCTAGGCGCATTTCGGGAGGAGAAAAACAAGCAACCACGAATTACGCTCTCGCGGGTGGAAGCTGCTCAGAATGTCTGATTTCGAGAACAAAAGATTCAAAATGGAGCCTTTTGTTCCTTAATTCTTGACTTCATTTTGGGCGATCGCCATCTTAGGACCTCGTTAATATCGCTGTAACGATGATCGAGTAACCCTCGATGCTCTTTTCTTAACTGGGAAGACGATTGAGTGAAGTGTCACGATACAAGCATTATGCGCACAGAAAAATTCGAGGACAAGTTATGAGTCACATGCAATGAGCAATTTTAATTTTTTTATTTTACTGTGAAGGTATTTGAGTTTTGAGAATTTTCACCTACACCTAAGAACTGTCAATATTCTGTAAAAAAATTAACCCATGTAAATACGTAGGTGCTTTTAGGCAGCATTACATAGAGAGATCTTAAATATCTTTTTCTTTCCGATTCTTCGGTCATAATGCGCTTAGAAGTACGGATTCTTTGAGGCATTGTTCAGCGAATGAAATGTATTTATGACGTATACCGTGAGAAACTTAGGAACTTAAATTGAATTTTTGTTACCTCCCTGACGTATTTCACTCTTTTTCTATGATTATATATAAAAATATTCCTCTGATTTATCAGCTCTCGGAGAGTTTTTGCAAAATCTTGGGTAAATGCTTTTCCAAGGTAGATACCTAAATTCACGAATAAAGTAGGATCAAAATTTTGAAACCGCGCTTTTGGAGGATTTTGGTCTTCATATTTTACTTTTATTATTAAAGAAGTAAGGTTTCCTGATTGCTAAATTACGTGAAAGTTTCTGCACGGTTCAATCATTGCAGCATTGCCTCATTGAATGTGAAAATGCTGAAAAGTCAGCACCCTGTTGCTCTTGAACAAATATAAACCATGATCACAGATGCTTTTCTCACCTGCATCCCTCCTCGAATCAAAACTTAGCTCTTTCAGGCAGAGCACAAAGGAGGAGCGATAATGCGATATCAAACATAAAAAGCTCAAACATGCTGACTCATGACGTTAACTGTTGGTTTCAATGTTATTAATACTACACCCAAATGAACAATGCGAGTATTTTTCCTTGCTCAAACAAGCCGTGTAATGTGCTTTATTTTTTTCGAGCATTCTCCTCAGCTATGCACCAAGGAGAGGCGTTAAATTCAATAACTAGATCAAAACTACCAGGGTTCTTCACGGTGGTTCCAATAATTCCTGGCCCTCCTCTCTCACCCTCCCATTCCAGCAGGTAATAAGTGAATCCTACGCTTCGATTGATACCTCTGCTGTAATTAAAACAAAATTTAAAGAATGCCAAACAATAGAAACGTTTTATTGAGCTGCGAAAATAGTAAACTATTATTTTGAGTCGATGAGGGGAGGTTGATAAATGGAGATTTGCCAAACGAAACGCACCTAATGATTAATACGAGTTATGAAATCCCGTTGCGTTGATTCTCTAAAAATGGACGAACAGTAAGGAAACATAATTTTTTTTTAAAAAAAACCGAAACATCTTTCAGTTTGTATTTTACAGATAAAAATTTGATTCCCATGGAGACCAAGGAACGTAATTCCATTCCAAGGTTGCAAAATTAATGCAAACGGCGCAATTAAGTTCAAGAATGCATCCACAAAATTTTCGTTTCAAATTTTTCTGATTTTTGCGTGAGATCAGAAGAAAAATCAGTGAAATTTTAAGGTTAAAATTCCCAAAAATCTCCTGGTTTCAGTTCAATTTTTGGGAACTCAAAAATTTGGTGGGACAATATTCCCACTAAACTCCCAATTTTTTTTTTTTTTTTTTTTTTTTTTTTTGCCAAATTCCTTTCGGTCGTTTGGGTTCCGATTTAAACTTCCTATTTAACGATGCAGTTTGTTAGTTATTTAAAAAAATGAACTTGCGCCCTTTGAGATGCTAACCGCCTCGGTTGCAAGCTGCAGAAACTACGCTCCGTGTTTACGAAAGCCCGATCTCTCATTGTTGACGTTATCCGCGGATCACGAGGGCGTTACCGGGGGCCAGCGACGCCGGGCCGCGCCGCGACGCCGCGCCGCACGCCGCGGTGGCCATTGTATAAAATCCGACGCCGCCCCGCGACCGCGCGATGTGGCGAGCAATAACAAAACGTGATCAAGTAACCACAACGCTTTCGATGTGCATAATTAAAAATGAATCGCTCCCTCTCGAAAGCGAGCAAGATCGGCTATTCCACGAGCCCTAGCGTCGCTGCGAACACGCGGAAGCCAGGTCTCATCCGAAAGTTGGGTTGTTCCCTCTCTGGAACGAGCCGAGAGAAGCCTTGCATGCAATCCGCCGAGCCTAGACGAGCGCTGGCTCGAAGGAGAATCCAGCATGGCGGCCATCGCTCCGTCTCCGAGTCTGCATGCAATGGGTGGGGTGTTAAATATGCATGTCCATGTTCGCTCCGGCTTTGCGCTTTCCTCGCTCCTTCCTCGTCGCTTCCTCCACCCCTTTAGTTCGTGTATTCAAAGCTCGCCCCCCCCCCTTCGTTCCGCACCCCCACCCCGGCTCCTGGTCTTCTCATCTGTGGTCTCTCTTCTCTTTTTGCTTGGCTAATTAGCGAGCTCCAGTTTCACTATCCGCGCGTACGCAACATGTGATCTAGTCGTATTTACACTCGAAGAAACTATGCACGAGCGAATTGAATCGAAAGACACTATTCAGCGCCCAAGTCCTATGTACATAGTACCTTTTCATCCGTCTCATTGGTGCATGGTTTCTCTTGTCTGTCTCTAGTTCGAATTCCCCGAACTTTGGGTTTATGTTGAGTGTGGTCATCGAGACTAATCTCGTATTCTGGAATGTGCGAATCCTAAACTCTTCAAATTCCGTCAAGCCCTATTCTTTCTCTATCTTCTCTTTGCGAGGTTGAATTCTCACGTTGTAACCTGCATGAGTGCATGAATTGATAATTCTTCCTAAAAATCACCTCAAAAGAAAACGAAGAAAAGAATTGTATGAGTATGCATTATGGTTCTGGGAATTCGGAGATTTGTGTCGTCAAAAAACAATTGTCAAGAAATGAGAGCGGAATATTTTAAAATTCTCTTGTCAGTAAATCACTGCAAATCTCTGGTAACGCTATGATACATAGAAAAAGCGAAAGCAAGATTTTAACAACTCTAGATAAAGTAATTTATACCGAAGTCTCAATGTTAGATAGAGATAAAAAATAACGTCATATTTCTGGATTTATTGTGCGTCATGTTTAATCGTACGAAATTTTTTACTTTGTGAAGAAAAATTCGAAAAATATTGAAGTAGATGAATAAAAATACTTGCACAGACAGCTCATATTATCGTTTCCTCAATTTTCCTCCAAGTTTTGTGATTATGATTCATGATGACCCAACTTATACGCTTAACACTGGAAAAAAAAAAAAAAAACACATTGGATCTAGAGTCCAGACTCCTAAAAACATTGACAAGAAAAAACTCTTGATTCAATCAGATTTAAGCTTAAATCAAGAACCAAGCCTCTTAATTTGAGCGGATTTCCTTTTGATCTAAGCGTAAATCTGATTGAATCAAGAGTCCTTTTTCTTGTCAATGTTTTCAAGAGTCTGGACTCTAGATCCAATGTGTTTTTTTTTTTTCAGTGAACCTCGGTGGATGGAATTTGGCAGTGCTGTTCTCATTCCATGCCCGTCATGTGTTTTGGGACTCGGAACTTTTTTGTTCCAATTTCTTCCACTCCATGATCGTCAAAAGTTCCAGGATTGTTATTAAATTTTTTCAAAAGTTGCAAGACATTTCCGGAAAATACGAAAGATCCGGAACCTCGCGGGAATCTCAAAAGTTCCGGGGGAAATTCAAGAAAATCTAAAAAGTTCCGAAATTCAGAACCAGTTTCGGGAAATGGGAGCACTGAATTTTGGTGAGTGATTTTTCCACTCAATGCACACTCTTCCTCTGCGAAGGTAGGTAATTTAACTGTTTCGAGAATCCTACTTTCCCTCAAGGAATCGTGGCACTAGAATGAACTCGCTTAGCATAGCAATTTTTTAATTAAGTTGCGTCAGAATTCCGCGAAAATGATTAGAGTCATGCTATTCTTGATTAAGGGCGCTTCACTGCCGTTTTGGCCAACCTCGCTTGGTTCCAACTGTATAATTAGTCGCTTGAGTAATAGTGGTCATCAGAGGTCGTATGCCCACTGGAAATTACACACGAGGCATTGATGCGTCCTGTCCACATTCTCGGAACAAAATGGACGGCTTTGATGAAAAGAATCATGTGAAAGTGACTTTAATCAAAAG